TAGCCACTTTGGAAGACAGTTTGAAAGTCTTTTTACAACACTAAACATTTTATTATATGACCCAGAATCATGTTCCCTGGGGAGAGTTGGAAAAAACTAATAAATTGATTGAGAACTTAGAACTACAATGATACCTGCACCTGAATATTTATCACACCTTTCTTCATGATTGCCACAACTTGGTTAGCCAGGATATCTTTCAGTGGGTGAATGGATAAATAGTGGTACATTCATACAATGGAGTATTTTTAGCATTAAAAAAAAAAAAAAAAGAACTAACCAAGTGTGAACATTTCAGGAAGAAGCTTAAAAGTATATAAGTGAAAGAAGCAAATTCATAAAAATTACATCCTGCATGATTCTAACTATAGGATAATCCAAAAAAGACAAAGTTATCAAGATAAGAAAAAATACAGTGGTTGTTAGTTTTGAGGAGGGGAAGAGAGGGGTGAATCAGCAGAGATTTTTAGGACAGTAAAACTACACTGTATGATATTATAATGGTGGGAAAATATTGTTATTTGTTATCTGCCAAAACCCATAGAAGGCACAGCACAGAGCAACTCATTATATAGACTGTGGAATTAGTTAATAATAATAATGTATCAGTTTGGCATATCAATTGTGACAAAAACACCACACTATTTCAAATTTATTTTTTTAATGATTTAAAAAAAGATTTATTTATTTATGCTTACAAAAGTGTACAGGCCAGAGCTGTGGTGGATGAGAGGACTCACCAGAGCAGCAGGTGGGTTGGAAGAGGTCTGCCATGTCATGTGGGTCAGCTCCCTGGTGGGGGATCAAACTGGGGCTGCAGTAGCTTCAGAGAGCTTCATAACGCTGTGCTGCTTTAACTCGTTGCGCCACCAGGGAGAGAACCTATTTCAAATTTTTAATAGGGAAATTAGGGGAACGTGTGGGTATGCTGATCCTAAATGTCCTGTTTGGCCACCATTTTGTGTGTGCGTGTGTGAACTGCAGTTCTATATTCTTATGCAAGGTCATAAGAATGAGGGGTTGAGGGGGCGTATGAGGATCAACGCATGACAAGGGACCCCAAAAGCTGCTCAGTGAAAAGCCTGATTGATAAGATTGAAACCCTGGCTGCGGACCCAGGGTTGCATCTCAAAACAACCCCATGTCATCAAGCAGATGAGAAGCGCCTGGAGGGCAGACGCCCAACCCTAGAGACTGTAGATAACATCACCTTTTCTAGTTCACCCTTCCCTCTTTTGTCCTCTTTCCTCTCACAACTGGTGCTGTATGATTATTCCATCAATAAAAAGGCCAGGCTCTTGCTCTCCCGCAGCATCCTGCCTCACACAGCTTGTTCCATCACTTCGATTTCTCAGTGTGGTGTGTCAGTGCAACGGGAAGGGAGGTAAGAACTCGTGTGGAAACGCTGTACTTTATGTATACTCTTATGAAAGCCTAAATGTGCTTTTAAAATGCAGCTCATTAATAGAGGGGGAGGAGAGGAAGAAGGAGGAAAAGGAGGAGAATTGTTTTGCTCTTCCCTAATTTTCCTCCAATTTCTTCCTATACTTCACTAGTTATTACATGCAAGTATCCAGCTTCTTTTGACTTTAGAAGACAATATAATATTTCCTTAGAATTATTGTTGCTTGCTTTTTAATTCCCAACAAATTCAGAGCGAAGGGAAAAAAAGCATGTAAAGCAGATTTTTGCAATTGATATTAATGTGCCTCTTGCGTCTACTTCCACCAATGACTGTTCTTGAAGATTCTTGGGATCTAGAATAGAGGGAAAGTAACTGGAGGTGGTAAAGATGAATAAAGTATGCCTTTGATACTACATGAAATTATATTTTTATAAGAAAAGGGAAAGTTGTGACAAATTCCTTTGCCACAATGTCAGTAGAAATTTTTTACTTAGTAATCATAAATCCAAGATTATGAGTTGCCAAGAAAAAAAAATATGTGTTTGTGTGTGTTTAATTTTCTTAATAATAAACGGATAAAAAGTCAGAGGGAAATAAAGAATGATTGGAGAATTAAGCATATAACCTTACTATGTCACTACTAATTAACCAAAAAAGTCTTATTTATTTTTGTTAAGTGGATTGTGCTTATTATTTTCAAATTTTATCTTTGGCTAACAATGTCATTAATCATGCAATTTTTAACTGTGTATAAATTCAGTACCTTTGAAAAAGAAAAATGAAGAGAAAATGCCCCAAACGTAATGCAACAATGACTTCTATCTAAAAAAACAAACAAAAGAAACACTAGAAAGAAAGCTGTTACACATGGCACATTGAAATTCACAATATGAGGCAATTTAGCAAGCTAAATTAAATCAACTTCATTAGACTGCCAGAGTGAAGGAGTCGTCTTCTCTGACAAGTCTGGCTATTATTAAACCAGGCAATGCTCTGAGCAGGTTGCAGGCTTAGCTCTTAGAATGCTCGTGACATGGTAGATGCAAGAAAATGTATTCTATGAGTATTAGGAATTCAAATTTAAATCCTTAAATATAATCAGGTAGCATCTGAAACATTGCAACCACTTGATTGCTAGAAGTAAAAGCAATTCAATTCTTTGTGGTACACTTCATATTTTATTTTGTTTTGTTTTATTTTCTTTCTGTCCTATACTATCATTGTCTATTAAGAGAGCATTGTATTACATAAATCTAGTACTTGCTTCCATCAATTTTTAAAAAAGTGGTATTTCAAACTAAATTACTGTTTTATCTTTCCTAGCACTGTCACTGCAGACATCAATTCAATAATGGAGGGAAATGGTAGGTTTGGACTTTTTGTTAACTGTAAAATTTGAGCTACTCAATTTGCTTTTTGCATTTGTTTCATTTAAGGAGAAAATATGAAGCTACTAAATCTTAATTTCATGTGATGATGCCAAATTACGTTTTCTTACCAATGGTGATATGGTTTCTGATTAGGATGATGTCTTTTTGGTTGTGACTCAAAGGCATATTCCATTCTAACTGTAGAAAAATTAAATATTCCAAGGATTTGGCATGTGACATTTCAGCCAGAAGAACAAACAACTTACGTAAAATTTTCTTCTGCCAGGCTAATTCTGAAGTGGGGTGTCTATATTCTGTGTGTGTGTGTGTGTGTGTGTGAGAGAGAGAGAGAGAGAGAGAGAGAGAGAGAGAGAGAGAGATAAACAGAGAGAGAGAGAGAGAAACAGATGGATGTCTTTAGAGCATAAGGTATATGAAAGCAAAAGGTATGTAGCACATCCATTAGGAAAAAGTTGTGAGATGCAAATGAGATCTACATACAGAAATTTAAAAAAAATATGAAAAATTTCTATTAGTCATATAAAAGAAAATGAAAAAGACAAAACGAAAGGTGGAATTAATTCTAGTGACAAAGTTTATCTAATCCAACATATTCCTAACACAGCATTTTTACAAGTGATCAATTAGAAAAACTATTGAGCTCTTTTACTTTTTAATTTTTGTAGTAAGTTTCCAAAATTCAGTGAAGTAGGAGGTAGCCATGTGCTCACAACTTGCTCTCAGCCAAGTGGAGGGAGACCTTGAAAGCCCTGAAATGTTGTCTCAGTGATGTTTCTAATGCAGCAGTGAGGGTGAATGTGTACCCTTCACCCAACAGACACCTCACATGGGCCTTACCTGGGGGCATATGAATGTGGGCATCACTCTTGCTGCAGGGCAGGAGGTCCTTCAGGGCTGCTCAGCTCTGATCCTGAGCCAGCGACACTACCAGCTACCAGTGAACAGAGCACCTGATTTCTCATCTCATTTCATCTGGGATACTACAAGATAACATAGCTGGCTAGGGGGCTTATAAATAACAGACTCTTTCTTTCTTTTTTAGAATCCTGGAGGCTGGAAGTTGAAGATCAAAATGTGGGTAGACTCAGTATCTTGGTGAGAACCTGCTTCTGGTTCACGGATGCCCTCCACAGCTGTGCCCTCATGAAGTGAAAGGGTGAGGGAGCCCACTGGCATCTGTTTCACAAGAGCACTAATCTCATCATAGGGGCTGGACCCTTATGATCTCATCACCTCCCAAAGGGTCTCACCTCTTAATCCCATCACCTGGGGGTTAGCATAAAATAAGAATTTGGGGTGGGGGCACAAACATTCAGTCCATAATGTTTTGAGAAATAGGCCGATGAGGACCACAGCATCTCTAAGGTGCTAAATAGGTTAACTCAGTCCTTCTAAAAATTACTGACCTTTAAACCCTTCTAGAAAAATAAGATGATAATGTAGGCCAGTGGGTGTAACAGATAAACTGTCATGGTGTGAGGTCTTAGCTCTGTGGCCCTGAAGTTTAAGGAGGAATAATATCTTGACTGACTGACAAGCTACTGTAGCAAGTGAGGCAACTTGACCAAGGGTAGGAGAGTCTCATGAAGTGGGATCCCATTGTCCCTATGTAGCAATGGGTGTGATGTCCAGTTCTGACTCAAAAGATGGAAGGTTCCCTGGAAAAATGCCAATGTACTGGAAACTGTGAGTGGCTATGGAAACGTGCATAGTCTTTTCAAATGATAGTTTTCTGCAAGAAATAGCAGAAGGTAAACCAATTAGGGCACATAGTATTGATAGTATTTTCTAAAGCCCTTAAAATAATCTGATTATAATCCATTTTCAAAACAGCAATGTCTGCGACTGATTAAAAAATGATAACAGTTAATGTGTTGGTATAGTAATGATTTTTATCCTAATTTCTTTTGCTTATTAAAGTTGAACAAATTAATTTTATTGATACTCCTGTAAGGTTGAGAAATATTTTAATGCCTCTTTAAGATTAGAAGAGTGAGTTTAATATTTAAGATTAGAAGAGTGAGATAATATTTTGATCCTTTGGATAGATTAGAAATTTGGATTAGAAAATAGGTTTAGTGAAATGACCAGAATGCCTTGTAAATTGGCAACAGTGGGAACTTTGGAAATTTTACAGGTCATTTGAAAAGTGGGGTGACACCCTGGGTTTTGAGCTGTAATTGGAAGCAAATATACCACAAAGGATCAGACCAGACTGGGAATCCCCACTACAGAGGCCACATTCTTCCTGTAACTTGATATCTCAAGATGTGACTAAGTGGAGAAATAAGGTAAAATGCTGAAAATATTCACTTTTTTTCAAGTAAATATATGTTCTGTTTAGTTGTAAAGCTGCTAGTGTAGTGTTTAGCTCCTACTTGGTTTAGCAGAGATGGATTTTCCTCTTGGGTTTATTACTTTAATAGTTATTCACTTGAGTAACTGTGTTTCTGAAGCAATTTTGATCATGTCATTGGACACAGTTAAAGTAAGACAGGCTGACTGAGGCCTTTTTGTGCTTCTTACTATGGGTAATTGCTATTTCTGCAAATGTCAAAAAGTGCCATGTTTTTACAGGGCTGTGAACAACATTGTCAATTCAAGGGCAGCAAAATGTGAAAACGATTTCACTGCTTTATGGGTATTGATTTAGGAATAAACAATAGGAATCCATAGTTAATACTCATTATTCTCTCTTATAAATCTAGTGCATATAAGCTAAGGCATCCATTAATATGAAAGATCTAGAAAATGGTCAGGAGGCATCATGACACTTCTTCCAGAAAAGCATTTCTCTAATTCTTCATTGGTTATTACCTATCAAGCTTGCCAAATCATAGGCAACAAAAAGAATATGCTAAATTGAAGCAACATTTCTAGCTGATTACTGTTAATTTCTTTTTTTGTTTAGAAATTGGTGACATTAGATAAAAAGGAACATTTTGAGTGGTAGTTATGTCCACAAGGAGATTATAACTCAGGTCAGAAATTGAGAATCAGTTGCTGTCAGTGAAGTTATGAAACAACAAAAGAGTACTTCTTTCTGTGGGTTTAATGCTTGAACAATCATTCAATCAATAGTATTTTAATACCTATGTCACCTAAGAAGACAGTGCTATGTGCTAATAAGTGATGAAGTTCAATCTGTCTCCTGTGTTCCAGGAGAGAGAAGAAAAAAATCCTGGGATATAGATATAGATATAGATATAGATATAGATATAGATATAGATATAGATATAGATATAGATATAGATATAGAAGGGGAGAAAAACATGTATATAGAAGGGGAGAAGAACATATATGTATGCAGATGTGGAGGGAGTTGGGGGTTCATTCCATTTTTTCACAGCCACGTGGCAGGTGTTTCTCTTGACAGCCTTGGGCCACACCGGTCCCATTGAACCCAATCCTGTTGCTTCTTGTGCACAAGTGATACCCCATACAACTGTGGGTGATGCCTAGTTTCTGGCCAAGCCTGCTGAAGGCCAAAGGCCACAGGTAAACAATTTTATGTGGCTCAGAAAAGAATACTCATGCTGTCAAGTTTATGACTGATGTAGCGATCTCTACCTTAGTAAGAATTTCCTATATTGCAAATTTATAGATAAATGTTTCCACATTTTCTTCTAAAACTTTTGTAGGTTTATTTCTTTAAATTTCTTTAAATTTATTATTTGATTTTTCTGGGATTTGATTTTATATAGAAAGTTAATTAGAGATTCAATTATATGTGTGTGTGTGTGTGTGTGTGTATACACACACAGCCCCTACATATATATGTGTGTATATATATATATATATATATATATATATATATATATATATATATATATATAAAATTAATGAATTGGTGAGACAATTGCATTTTTTGATTCATTATAGGATGAATTACTTCTTTAGGCAAAAAAAAATCATACAGAAGTATGATGTAAAATAAAGTCACATTGGGGAGGGAGGACAAATTATATAATTGTGGGCATTTTAAACCTTTGCATTGGGGAGAACTATTACTCTTGAATCTTCATGATTATAAAGTTATCTTTAAGAAGGGAGCTGGTAATAGGAGGAGAGGTTCAAATGAGAGTGGTAAAATTTAAAATTTGACTAAACCTCTAAGAGTAATTTAAGATTAACATCTGTAAGTAAAATGTCCATTAAATTTATTAAAGCAGATCCTCCCTGGTGGTGCAACCAGTTAAAGCACAGCACTGCAAGCTAGCTGCAGCCACTTCAGTACCAGTTGATCCCCTGCCCCGAAGGTGACCCACATGGCGAGGCAGACCTCTCCTGACCCGCCTGCTGCTCCCCGCAGCAGTGTACTTTGTCCATCCACCTGTTCTGCTCCCCACTCTGTCTCTGGCGAATCCTCTCATGGTCCCTGCTCCTCTGGCCTGAACCCAGATCTGTATGCACAAATAAATAAATCTTTAAAAAAATAAATTTATTAAATAAAAAATACTTAAGATATTTAAGATAAAAGGGGATGAAAAGAATTGATTTTAGTATAATGAATCTGGTATTATTATTATTTTTTAGTATTCTTTGGGCTTCTTAGATCAGATGCCTGGTTCATTTCCCAGACTGAAAGGATTTTCAGCAAGTTTTCTTTGAATAGATGTCTTTTTTTTTTAATGGAGTCTTCATAATATGGACATTATTTCCTTTAAGTTACCCAAAAGTGTTGTTACACTATTTTCATTTTTTTAAATTTTTTTCTCTAGTTGTTGTTCTATTTGTGTGTTCTTTGACACTGTTTTCAAATTCTTTAATTCTCTCCATTGTTTCAGTTTGTCTGCTATTGAGGCCCTCCATCTTATTTTTTAATGCAGTTATAGTGTTTCTTAGCTCTGCTGTTTATATTGTATCTGCCTCACATTTTTAAGTCTTTTCACTGAGGCAACATTGCTTTAGAGCACTGTATAAGATTTTGAGCTCACACCTCAGTGCACCCACACTCCCAAAGTGCACCCCCTGTCCTGAGGGCTGATTCTTTGTAGCCCCTAGTTGGGGTCTGCAAGGTTATGCCATGCAAGCACACATGGCTAAGTAAAACACATAAAGCCACTTAATAGGGAGATGCAAGTGTATTGTGGTATGATGAAATAAAATCAGGTCAAGTAATGTTGAACCTGTTTTACTCTTTGGAGAGAGTTTATGAGTGAACCACCATCAGTGGTCACTTAACCTGTTGCATAGTCAGCAAGGGTTTTTCTTTTCTTTTAAATTACTACTTTATCTCAAGATTCCAGAACCTATAACAAAGGCATGCTTTGCTTAAGGTAACACATGTTTTAGCATGGAAGCAAAATAGGAAGAAGTAGAAGGGTGGAGGGAGGGAAGAAGGAAGGAAAAGGATACATAGTATTTCACACGTTCTCATTTCTGCATCCCTCTTGTGGGGAATATTTTTGTTTTGTGCTTCAGACAATTCACAATGATTTTCATCAAGGTCAAGAATTAAAAGAAATGAAGGCTCCCAGTGTTAGAGAAGACTGAAAGAAGTCTCGAGATCAAATTATTAAATGTAGTGAACTGTTTAATTTGTTTATGAAGCATGTGAATATATGAAATGAATATATACTATATTCCATAATTTTTTCAAGTTAAATGTCACTTCTAAAGCCAACGATTCTCTAATTAGTTTTCAAGGGTTCGTTTTTAAGCTTGTCTTTCCTGACCATTTACCTGACTACATATTAGTGGTATCCTAAAATTACCTCAACCAAAGTAAACTAATAATAAAGAAAAATGATTTCTCTCTCTGTCACACACACACTCTCTTTAGGTAGGCAAAAACATGGAGGATGGGCCATCTAGTTTTACGTGACTAATGCTTTTAGGAAGAAATGGCACAAAATGCTGAGGATTGAAAGAATGCTGTACAAATAGCTTATCCTGGATTAGCAATGAGATATTAAAGAGTGGAAGCCATTTATACAGTAGAATAGAAATGAATGCACTGGGTTGGAGGTAATATCTGGCTCATAAAGAAGTAACAGTCACTATTACTTTACATGTTTTGAAAGGCACGGCATTCCACTTGAATAAAATTCACTTCACCATAAAAAATGTCATTAACGCATTATATAACTATATATTTTGAATAAACACTTCTTGGTCAAAAAAGAAACAGCCTCAGCGGGATACTTCTATTCAAGCAACAAAATTTCCATCTATCCATACATTAAGTAAGTACATGTAAGACAGTACATTAAGACACAGCAATTTTAAAGGTATATCTCTTACTTACCTATGGATACAGAGTTTTGTAGTAAAAGTAGAGTCACCCAGCTATTGTTTAGGATGGAAAATACACACAAAGACATTTGGGAACAAATAAGAGCTCCTTCTCTTTTATTTTGACACTTGATTATATTGTTTAATTGTGAGTATATTATCTATTCATTACAGCTGAAGCAAATGGCCAGGGTCTTTTCCACTTTTGCAATTGCCTCATGAATCAAAGGCACAGATAGGCAGCTAAAGTAATAACAATAAAAATGCTCCATAATGTCCATCAGCCTTTTCTCCACCCCTCATATTCCACCATGCTTGGGCAGATGCTGTTTTCACAGAGGCTGCAAAGCCCTAGCTTCCCCTTCACTTATTGTCTGAGCGATTGTCTGGGCGAAATGCATCCAAGGGTTCTGTTTCCTATCCTGTGCTCTCGGGAGAGCTCTTTATCTAGATTGCTTGTGGTATGATAAGGTATCGCTAATTTTCTTTGTAGCATAACTTTGGCTGTCCATATGAATCACAAGCTATAGGGGAGCACTTACCCATTTCTAGAGGAAAATACAATTCTTTGGCAGTTGTTTTTGAAATTTCTCTTTCTTATGCTACAGTAGAGAGTAGACACGGTGTCACTCGATGTTCTGGAGCAACAGCAGCAGGTTTCTGAAGTAGCAGATTGGGTCTTGTATTTTGAACTAATGACTCCTTTGTCAATAATACTTAATATGTGCTTATTGGTTGATTAAATTAAAGTTATTTGAACAGTTACTTGCACATGAAAAAAATTAGAATCCATGTGAGAGTAAACTACATAAATAGTCCTTTTTTTCTCTTAGGTATTCAAATCTAAGAACTAAATCTGAACACAGAGTAATCAGTTTATGTGCTATTTCAATCCACAGAAGATACATTTAAATAATTTAAGACAATGGTTCATGCCAATAAAAATTCATATCATATAAATCATATGTATGCCAATACACTGCTTTATATGGATGAAGGTTTCACATAGGCTTTATAGTATTTCATGGTGGGTAGTAGGTATTCAGTATTGTGTGTGTGTGTATGTGTTTGATAGAGAGAGACAAAAGAGAGAGAGAGAGAAAGAAACTTGATCCTTAATAAAAATGTGGAGTCATTTTTAGCTTATCAAAATCCATTTTTTTCTACTACCCTAGTAGAACTGAGACTGAAATTTTACATCAGAATAAATTTGCTAATTTTCATTGGGCAATTTTAAAGCCTGGAAAGTATAATATAATGTTAAATAGATCCAATTAACTGGCTTCTGAAAAGGATTTTTTTTTTGTAAAATTGAGATAGATTGTACTGTCAATGAAATGTATATAGGATTGTAGTTAATTCTTTACACTGCTCTATAATGTAAGTACAATTATCTATTTTATATGTAAATTAAGAAATTATGAGGCTTAACATCTATTATTTACAAAAAGATTGATTTTATGAAGATAACAATTTTCTTGACAATTTCAATACTTTTAGAATTAATAGCTAATGTATGTATCTACATACATATGAAGAATTCAAGCCATATCGCAGAAAAAAAATAATGTCCAAAGGCACATTTTTATTAATAGCAACCTTTTGTTTTATGTTATTAGTGATATAGCATGGAACTCAGGGTCAGAGCAGAGCAACACAGACTGTGGAGTTATCAACGACACAAACTCAAGGTAGGAGATTGTGGGCACTAAAAGAGTTTTTGTAGAGCTACATATAGTTACCTAATGAACTCATTCATATCTAGTTTGGCAACAGAAGACCATTTATGTGAATGTTACATCTCCCTTTGAATATGATTCTATGAGCTTCCAGTTGAAACTCTGTTGTTCTAATTAATGGTATGGCCAGTTAATAACCACTCTCTAGGGCAAGCAAAGCACTTTCCGGTTTTATATATTGCACTGCACTGTAGGGAGTATCATTTCCTATCTTTCGCTTGACGAAAGCTATAGAGATCGCTCTTAAGCATCTCCTCTGCTAAGTATTTAATGCAAGATAATGCTACAGAGCCTTCATCACACTTTTGTCTTAATGTTAATGCTTATAAGATAATCTGAAAGTATCCAGATTTCTTGCTATGGTAGTCTACTTCTCAAAAATCAACATGCGTGTCTCAGTGCCTCTCTTATTTAAAACGATGTATGCTTATTACAAAATGCTAAAAAAGCATAAGGAAAATATCTTGTATTTTCACCACCCAGAAATCACATTAATATAATGATCCCCTACATACAAAGCTTTAAACTAACACCCTACACTAATTATATTATTGTTATTTGAACATTTGTCCTGGCCAATACCTTTATACAGTCTTCAAAATGTACATATTTCTGACTTGATCACAATTTAAAAAACAAGTTTTCTACTGCTCAATATTTATGTTGTCATTTACTTTTTTACTCTTATTATAAATTGTGGTGACAAATTTGCTTCAGTATGACTCAACTATCCTTATCATTGTCTTAATGTATATTTCTAGCCTTAGTACTTTCAGGTCTAAAGGTTTGAATGTTTATGGCTTCAATCTATGATGATGATTGCCATCCATGAAGTTGCTATAAATCTGGATTTGCCATAGTAGAGAAATGCCCATTGTCTTGCATTTTAACTTCTATGGACTATTGTCCTTTTACATTATATTTGATTTGGCAGTAAAAATGATGTTTTACTGCAGTTTTAATTTGTACCTTTTGTTGCTGAAATACTGTATTTTTGGTATATACTTATCGTTGTCTTTTCTTATTTGTCTTGTTTGTTCATACTTTGCTCATTTTTTTCTATTATAGTGTTGATATTGTTCTCATTGATTTATGTAGGAGTTAAAAATGGAATAATGGCCCTCCCTGGTGGCACAACGGATTAAAACACAGCACTAAGAAGCTTAAGCCACTTCTGCATGAGTTCGATTCCCCACCTTCCCTGGAGGTGATCCACTTGGCGTGGCAGACCTCGCCTGACCCGCCCGCTGCTCCCCTCAGCAGTGTACTTCGTCGATCTGCCTGTTCTGCTCCCCAGTCTGTCTCTGGTGAATCCTCTCACCCTCCGCATCTCTGGCCTGTACCCCAGTTCTGTATGAATAAATAAATCTTAAAAAAAAATGGAATAATGTTGATACATTTTACTGTACACATTTTAGAATTTCCATTTGATCTTTAGTTGCTTGGTCTTACTGATAATATGAACGTGTTAATAATATGGCCGAAGTTCCAGAAAAGTTATGAAATGAGACTTTTAATTTTACTTGAAGGCCCATAGGTTGTTGATTGACTCTAGCTATGGACTTTGAGAGACGTAGCAAAAGCCAAAGTATGCAGCTTAAACAACATGGTTTTTGCCTCACTTATTCTTTGTGTAACTTTCTCTAAATTTTCTTATGTTTATTTTAAAATAGAAATGAAATATCCAGTAGGTCATCAGCTATTTAAATTTCCAGCCTATTGTTTCCTATATCCTCCCTTGTACTGGCTATGCTTCCATTCTCCCCAGTAATCTAACAGTTCCAGAATCCTCCTACTGCTGACTTGTGTTCATGATGACTCTGGGTGCTGTTACTGGACAAATGAATGAAGCTACTGAAGAAATGACTTTCCAATGTTACCAAACTTTGCTTATAACAAACTTCAAAACAAAGAATATTATTTCTATCACAAATTCATGTCACCTGCGTCTTAAAATGCAATTGAGAAACACTTCAGTTTTTGAATTTTTAAAAAGTTTTTCTTACGTATGTTTTAATTGATATATCTATTTACATTATTGTTCATTTTAAAACATTGTTTACTCCCCCCAGCCACTTCACCACCATAATCCTCCATGCTCCTCCCTCCTTCAGCTCCTTCTCCACACCCTCCTCTGTTCATAACCTGTTCATCCTATTTTAGATTACTCACTGCAGTACTGTTTTCTGGTCAAACTGTTTGAGTTATAACTGTTAGGTCATGAACTGACCACCTTTCATCTGCTTATTAGTCATTAATGGATCTTGTTTGATGAACTACATTGGTAATTGTTCAAAAACTTTAGTGTATTTTTCAATCATCATTTAAATGTAATGCATTTCAGATACTAATCTTCAATAGCTGGCATTTTTAATTCTAATCAATAAGGCACTATTTCCTGGAAAGATGTTATTTATAACCTTTTTTGGTTATAAGGGAAGGTGCATTTGCTTCTGAGGCCTATGTAAGGTGTACTCAGCTGCTCTACATCCTTGTTTCTTTTGTACCATGTTTATGGCACATCTGTAAAGATTTTTAAAATATAGCCTATCTCCTAGAGATGCCTTTAAAACTTCGTCCAAGGCTATTAAAAACTCTTATAGATATATTAAATAAAGGAAAAAATGACATAAATTCCTATTAAGCTATCAGTTTTTCTGGAATGGAATATGTGAGAATTTTAGCCCTGCAGGTGTTCCATTGGAGAGAGACAGCAAAGTACTTATCCAGTGACCAGAGTTATAGTTCTGTCTTTGTTAGAAATGAATGTAAGACCTTGTGTCAAACATTTCCTGTATCGGAGTTTGGATATTTCTAATAAAAAATAAATATATTATAAATAGGAAAAGCGATACAATCTAAGATTTCTGTCATCTCTAAAATGCTTATCTTCTATAAATCAATTGAATATAGAGTGTTACTTTAAGTTTATGTTAGAAAGAAATCATTTTACAAGTATGTATTCTAAGTATAGTCTGATTCCTTTCCATGCTGAATAGATCACCTTTTTCTTGAATGGACTAAACAATAAATTGCTTAGATACCTGTTGAAGTTTTCCAGAAGTAGCCCTTCATTAAAAATCACAAAAATAAGAGAGCACAGACTTATTTCTTCCTTTCTTTCTTTTTAGGAATCTTGTTCTTTAAAGCTCACTGGGCAGTGGTGTTAAGCGTAGAGTTTTATCTAAAGTGAAGCTGCCTAAATAGTCTTTTTGGAATCCTCCCAAGTACAGAGTGAAGGATGCTTGGTATTCAGGTCCATTAAGGAATGAAATGTGACCAACTCCAAGTGTTTTCTATTTTACTGATGCAAAGCTACTCTATGAAGTGGCAGTTGAATATAAAATAGGCTTTTAGCTTGGAATAGAATGTCAATATTTCTCTACCCCCTTTTAGAGAAATTTTGTACTTACAAATGCCATCAATGGATAGATATAATTCTTCAACTATTTTACCTGGACTCATTTGGTAAAGTTTTATGCTATAAAGCATAATTTTTGTGCTGCATATAGGAATTTTTCCTACTATTTGATAAAGGAATAGAAACTTGAAAACTATGAAAAATGGGAATGGATTTCTCCCCTTTTCTCCATGTTGGTTTCAAATATAGTAATATCTTTCTAATTTGGATAAATATTCTTTTCAATTTTGTGAGTCTCTATATAGCTATACATGTAGGGACTTATATTTATATTACATCTGAGCCTAATTATATACATAATCTTCATGTATGCAGCCAAAATATTAAGACTCATTGATTGTGTTTATGTATTTTCCTATAGGGTGTTTAGATGCTTATTGAGAACCTACTATAATAGAACCTACTCTTTCAGACTTTGGGGATATTTCAGTAAAATTTAGACCAAAAAATCTGCCCTTGTGAGTTTTGTATTCTGTCTATCGCAGAATTCTTGACTTACTGTTACTATTTGAGTAAAGGGAGTACATTTGTGGCTTTATGCAGTATCAAAATATCATAGAGGAAGTACAAATGTTGAAATTATTACTTTTTTTCTGAGTCTACTGCTCCTCTTTATTCAATTATTAAATGCAAGATACTGTTGTCTCAATTAACTACAATTATTACATCTTATAAGTACAATATTTATTAAAAAGCACTCTGTCATTTATTATTTATATTTTAGGGTTTAAAGTTAGTCAGCATTGAAAGTTGACACATAAAATTCAAATAAATGTATAACATTTATATTTAAAATTATTTATTGACAATTAAGTGTATCATAGAGAATCTTGTATTTTTATTTTGAGTTCCAGTGTCAAAGCTAATTTTTTCTTGAGTATCATCTTCATTTGATCAAATCAATCATGCTGTATTGCTTATTTGATTATGAAAACTATGACAGCTTGTAAGAATGTATAAATTACAGCAAAATAACATGTTAAATTCAATGATAAAACAAATGGAGGGACATAAGGGCATAAACATTATCAAAATGCATTCTGATAATGGATGTACTTGGCGTCAGGCTTTCTCAGTCATGGTTACTGATTAAAACGATTAGATAGCTCAAAAGCAAAGAATTCCAAACCCTTCATCCTTAAAGTCTGACTTCTTTGGTCTCCTGAGGTGGGGGCCTTTCAATGCTAGATTTTTAAGCATTTCAGAGTGGTTCTGATCTATAGTTAAGGCAGGGGAGCCATTGTTTCAGTTGGTCATAGATTTGTCTCACAGCTTCAGGGTAGACCAGCCCACTTGTTTTATCGTATCTATAAGGTTAAACACAAGTCAGTTGCTCAGAATAAGTATGATACTGTGATCATAGGCTGAGTAGCTACTTCCAGGGGATATCAAGGCACAGATTTTGTCATTATGAGCCATACCATAATGGTGTCTCTGTGAAAGCCACAATGACTAGGCCCATTGGATGCCTTCATAGAACAATTCCAATTAGTCATACCACCTTTGTTTTATTGTTAATTTTCTAGCCAATATGTTATTAAAAATAGAAAAAAAACTTAGAAAGTACGTGAGCCTGAAGAAAAGCATTGCAATAGAATTTACAATCTTACTTTGAATGTGTTCCTACTTGACATTGATTAGAAACAGACTAATTCCTATTGTATTGACTCTGCTTTATTAAACAAAAGCAATCCTATCATTAAATTTACAAGGGAAACAACCTATAAAAGTAATTAGGGAGGAAAGAAGGGTAAAATTAATCCAAATAAGTGCTAAGAGAAGGTTTATTTTTGCAAGACTTTGACATTTTGCAATAGCCATAATGATATTTTATAAATATCATTAATCTTTGTAGAGGGCTGATAGCAGTGAAAATTGAAAACAGTGTGTTGCTAAAGCCCTATCTATGTTATTTTAGCCATAGTCTTAAAATTAGATTTTTCTGAATCTAAACAGCAACTTTTTCTATCTATTCTGCATCTTTTGATTTAACAGAGAAAGGATTCCTCTCAGAATCACTTAAAAAGCTACCATTATTTGGAAACATGAAATACTTAATGTTAAAATCACAAACATTGAAAAAGTTTAGTATTATGACCTTCAAAAGGGCATATGACACAATACAGAAATCAACATCCTTCCTCAAAGCTGACTGGGGATCTATTGTAAGTGGCGTTATGCCTGAAGGCAGGCCATTGACCATTTCCATTGCCACTGCTATGATTGTTGTTGCTATTGTAAATGAATGCTATTGAAGTTGTTACTCAATCCCAGTCATGAACACTAGACATTCCCTGTCCCCAGTTTCCAATGTTGTAGAAGAATGTGGGTTAGAAACTCAGATTTAAAAGGTCACCATACCCTGATAATCACATTTTACTTTCTTTCTTTTTAAATATTTATTTATTTATGCATGTACATTTGGGGTAGAGTCTAGATGCACAGGGGCTGTGAGAGGATTCACCAGAGACAGAGGCAGATCGATGCGTGCCTTGTTGAGGGGAGCACTGGCAGGTCAGGAGACTATGTTGTACCATGTGTTCACCTCCGGGGCTGGGGATAGAGCTTGTGTTGAAACGGCTGTGGCCAGCTTGGTAGTGCTATACTGTGCTTTAACCTGTGGAACCACCAGGGAGGGCCCCAGATTTTTCTTTTCTGATGAAATGCTTGCTGTAAAACTTATTGTGAAATAATTCAGTAAATATAGTCACACATATA